AAGAAGAGAGTTTGTTCGCAAGCAAGCAGCAGCTCAAGCCCAGACCCATGGTCCAACCCCCAGAACAGCCCCAGCAACCATGCTCATGCTCCAGTACCAGCCACCCAGCTGCCAACCCCATTATACCTGGCTACACAGACAAGGGTCCCAGGGCTTTACCCGCTCCGCGCCCAGCAACGCCAGGTCCGGCCCAGAAACCAAACCTACAGCATCTGTTTCCCGGCTCCAGAACCGACCCCTTACAGCCAGGATCCGGCCCAGAAAGACTTACAGCCTGTTCCGGCGCAGAACAGGAACCTACAGCCAATGGTCCCGGCTTCAGTGCGGCTCCAGTAACCATGGTCCGGACCCGCCTCGCACCTGCGACTCATCGCCGACGCCAAGCCCTCAGTCCTGCGGCGTTTACCCGCAACTCCACAACCTCCTCGGGCGTCCTCCGACGCACCCCCCATGCCTGTCGGCATACCGCCGACCCAGGCACCTCGCCCGTTGGCTGCCTCCGACCGCACCCCCGTGTCCCTGAGTCCGTCCGACGCCAGCTCCCCGTGTCCTGATGGCTGCCGTCGACCCAGCCTCCCCGAGTCTGTCGGCATACCGGCCGACCCAGGCACCTCGTCTCCTGTTGCGCCCGTCCGACGCCAGCCCCCGTCGTGGCGAACCAACCCACTCAAAGTGTCGTTGGAAGTCCCCAAACGCCTCCTGCCGGGTCCGGCCAACCCATTCGGTCCCTTTGGAGGCCCCGCAGAAACCTTCGCCGGGGTCCATAGCAACCCATGTCCCTGAGCCGTTGGAGGTCCCGCAGACGCCGCGCCGGGTCCTCAACCCATGTCCTGAGCCTTGAGGCCCGCAGACCCTGCCTCTGCCGGTCCAGCCTGCCGAACCCCATGTCCGGTCCATTGGAAGTCCCGCAGACACTCTCTGCGGCCCCCTGCCAACCCAATGTCCTGTTCCGTTGGGAGGTCCCCGCAGACATCCCTCCGCCGGGGTACCGCCAACCCCATGTCCTGTCCCGTTGGCGGTCCCGCAGACGCCATCTCCCAGGGTCCTGCCAACCCCATCCCAGCCGTTTGGAGGTCCCGCAGACTGGTCTTCTTCGCCCGGGGTCCTGCCAACCCCATGTCCCTGTCGTTGGAAGCCCGCTACAGAACTACTCTTCTGCCGGGGTCCTGCCGACCATGCTGTCCAGTGGTCCCAGCAGACTCCCTTCCTGCCGGGTCCTGCCACCCCATGTCCTGAGCCGTTGAGGTCCGCAAGACTGCTCTTTCTTGCGGATCCTGCCAACCCCATGTCCTGAGCCGTTGGAGGTCCCGCAGACTGCTCTTCTGCCGGAGGTCCTGCCAACCCCATGTCCTGACCCGTTGGAGGTCCCGCAGACTGCTCTTCTGCCGGGGGTCCTGCCAACCCCATGTCCTGTGCCGTTGGAGGTCCCGCAGACTGCTCTTCTGCCGGGGGTCCTGCCAACCCTATGTCCCGTGCCGTTGGAGGTTCCGCCGACTGCTCTCCTGCCGGGGGTCCTGCCGGCCCTGTGTCCTCTTCCGTGGGGGATCTTGCAGACACCGGCTCCTGCCCGGCCTCCGTAGCTGTCCGGTCTTCGCCGTCGGGCCCGGTCCCCTGAGTTTGCCCGCTGTGGTCTTCACCCCTCCTCGAACTCTGCCTTGCCCCCGGGCCGTCCGCCCGAGACCCTCTCCTCGAACTCTGCCTTGCCACCGGGCCGTCCGCCCGTGTTCCCCTTTTTGAACTCTGCCTTGCCCCGGGCCGTCCGCCCGAGTTCCCCACCTTGGTCTCTGCCTTGCCCCAGGGCCGTCCGCCCGAGACCCGTCCTCCAGACCCCCTCCACCCACCCTGCTGGACTTTTTTTCTTGGGACGTCTGGAATCCGTCCCTTGAGGGGGGGGGGTTATGTCACGATTCTCATGTTATGTCATGTTTATAGTTTTGTAGGTTTGGGTGTTTTGCTTCCTTCACAAACCGTGACAGCTCATTTGTTTTCCATACAGGAAAACACCTCACACCATTTATTGATGGGCTTCTGCAGAGGGAAGTGGCTGGACAGGAATATATTGTTGCATCAACTATGCATACATCCATTAGCTCTATACTAATCTGATGTGAGATTTGGTTCAATTTGGGAGAGTCTCCTCTCTTATCTCAGTCCGGCAGTATTTGCATAGAAACCAGTCATTAAGGATCACATTTTGTACTGTGTATTGGCTCAGGAAAGCACATCCATGCTGGATGTCCATGAGATCAGGCAAAGAGCTTCTCCACTAAACTGGCTGCTTAAACGCGGACGTTCCTGTCTTGGACGGCACCTGATTGGTCACCCTGATCTCTGCTAGCCGTTTGAAGCAAGAATCAACGTCATTGGCCTTCTTTTTCATTCTGTCTAAACAATCCACCAAAGTCTTATGGTAAAACATTTAAGGTGAGAAATTGTCTATACCGAAATATGATTCTTTTTAGATTGCCAAGATTGATAGCTTGTTTAAAGTTAGATTGCATATTTGTTAACATTATGCAAATCAAGACCACCCAAGAATTGCTGCAACTGTCCCACCATGCATTCATCAACTGCTTTTTCTGTTCTCCATAGGACATTAATAAAAAGCATTGAGACACCCTCCGTTACTGGATCCAGTAGATGTAGCTTGATTAAGCTTTAATGCCTAAAATGACAGCTGACAGTGAGATAAAGAACACATTTAAAGTTGACATTAGCTATGAGACTATGCTTGGCTTTTGGAGATCTTGGCCAAATGTTGTTGGTTTACTTAAAGAGTGGACTCTCAATATTGCATTGTAGCCAAACAAATTCACAGCTATCTCCAAACCAACCAGCTTTACGAACCCCTTCAGTCTGAATTTCGTCCTCACCACAGTACGAAAAATGCACTCGTCCAATCCCTCAATGACCTCCTCACCTCTGCTGACACTGGTTCCCTCAATATTCTCATCCTCCTCGACCTGAGTGCAGCCTTCGATACCGTGAGCCACAACATCCTGCTCACCCGACTCAGGGACATTGGTATTGAAGGTATTGCACTCAGATGGCTCCAGTCCTACCTCACTAAACGATCCCACTTCATCTCCCTCCCCAACCACTCCTCTGCCACAGCCTCAGTCACCCAAGGCGTTCCTCAAGGATCAGTACTTGGCCCCCTCCTCTTCATCATTTACATCCTGCCCCTCGGTCAGATACTCCGCCACTTCAACCTGGACTTCCACTGCTATGCTGATGACACTCAGATCTACCTCAGCACCAAATCCCTCCATAACCCACCCCTTACCCACCTTGATTCCTGTCTGACAGCTATTAAAACTTGGATGCAACATAACCTCCTCAAACTGAACAGCAACAAAACAGAACTCCTCCTAATCGGCTCCAAATCCACCCTCAGCAAGGTCACTAACATAACACTCACCATCGATGGCACCATTGTTTCCCCCTCCAATCAGGCACGCAACCTTGGTGTAATCTTTGACCCCACCCTCTCCCTCGAACCTCACATCCGCCAAACAGTCAAAACCTCATTTTTCCACCTCCGCAATATTGCAAAAATCCTACCGTCTCTCACCGGCCCCGCAGCCGAAAGACTAATCCATGCCTTCATTTCCTCCCGCCTTGACTACTGCAACTCACTTCTTTACGGCATCAGCACTACATCCCTCAACAGACTCCAACGGGTTCAAAATGCAGCTGCATGTCTCCTCACGCATACCAAATCATGGCATCACATCACCCCAGTCCTCAAAGACCTCCACTGGCTTCCTGTCTCCAATCGCATCAACTACAAAATTCTGGTCCTCACCTACAAAGCACTCCACCATTTGGCCCCCCCTTATCTCACAAACCTTCTCACTCCTTATCAACCCCCACGGTCCCTCAGATCCACCGCAGCCGGACTCCTATCCATTCCCACATCCACACTCTGCAGCTTTGGGGACAGAGCCTTCTCAGTGGCAGCTCCTAGGCTCTGGAATTCCCTCCCCCAAGATCTCAGTGACTCTGAATCCCTCACAGTCTTTCAGTCCCGCCTCAAAACACATATTTTCAACTCTGTCTACCCATAAGCCCCCCCACCTCTCAATCAACTTCCTCTTGACTGCCTTTTTATTTTACTATACTTACTTACTTGTTTGTTTGCCTGTCCTTGTCTACCCTCCCTCATATTGTAAAGCGTCTTTGAGTTGTGAAAAGTGATATATAAATAAAATGTATTATTATTATTATTACTAGAGCAATTGACTAATATGGGTTTAAATGTAATTAAAATTCCTGACACTTGGTACATGAACACTGACCTGGAGGTGTTGTTTTCTCCTCAAAGTGAATGAGGTCCATCTCTTGGATGACGGGGTCTGGGTGGAGCTGAGGGGAAGGCAGGCAGGAGGGGAACGGACCACAGAGCAGGTCCAGGGGGGGGGTCAGACACAGCAGCTCCGACTCCGACACTACATCGCAGCCTGGGGGGGACGGGGACGGGGACATGAAACATGAATTAGTTTCAGAAGCTGTAAAAATCTTGCCCTTCTCATATAAGTATGTTACATCACTAAAATAAAAGTCGTGTCAAAATGAGGATTGAGAAGTCTATATTTAAAACGTGTGCATTACCTGGACTCTGGGTTCCTGACGTAGCGTTGCTCATGGGGCTCTCTCTCGGGCTCTCTGTGGGCTCTCCTAGCTGTGGACTGCTGGGAACTGAATAGCTTGCCCTTACTAAGCAAAAAAAACAAAATATAATGATCACTTTATTATTCACAGTCTTAATAATTAATTAATAAAGCATGAAAAGCCATCACCTTTACCTTTCATATCGTTCTTCATAACGATAATCCTCTTGTGACCGTGCCCTTTGATCCAGACCACCTGATAAAAGCGCAAAATTAAAAAAAAAGGAAGATTTACAATATGCAGATAGAACATATTTTTGTTAAGGTACCTCAACAAGCAAATGCCATGAGAAAATTGATGACTTGCTTTAAAAAGAATATGGGGCATTTAGATGTATCCTAACTTATCTATAGATCTGGTGCAGCAGTCTTAAACACGATAAATGAATAAGAATGTTAGCACTTCCGGTTCCCTTGTTTGGAAGTCTAAGTCTTTTTAAAGGCCTTTGTGATTAGCAGCCTGAAATAAGGTCTGTGGTTTACAAGCTTAAGAAATGTTCATGTTTAGTTTTACGACATAAAATAGGTCCGTAACACCGCAATTATAAAAGTATGAAGCCAGTGTCATAAAAACAGCGGGTTGCTAACAAGTGGCTAATAGAGACTGCTAATTAGCCTGCTTTAGCCTAGCCGCTGTGACGTGCAGATTTAGTTTTCTTTTTCATAGAATTTTTTTGTTTTAACTTCTGGTGAATGCGTTTTAAAAATCACAAAACCGTGTTTATATGTTGAGATTATCCTGCTGGACAAAATGTCTTAAACATGTTTGCCAAAGAGCTATTTCTTTGCAGTATTCAAACTGCTCCTAACACTAGAAGGGTCAAATGCAGAGAAACCGTTTCATTACTAGTACCTGTACTATGTAATGACAATAAAAGTTCTAAAATACCGGATGGAACAATCATTGCATTTAGTCGACGGAGCCCTTGGCGATCTTACTTCTGGTTTGACCTTAAAAAGACATCACCACAGCACCTCTATGAATGTTTTGCTCCATCTAATGAAATGTATCCCACCTGTGGAATGGCGCTGAGCAGCTCGTCGATACCCATGTATCCATAGGAGCGTGGTTCGAGAATGCGGCCTGTGAATTTGTTGTAAGCCACCTGGAACTCAGTGAAGAAGATCTGGCTGTAGTGGTAGGTGTGGAGCAGGCTGCGGGCGTTACGGGCGAACTGGTACAGCCGGGTCAGCCTCACCCGCTCCTCCCCACAACGAGTACAGGTTCTCGCGTCTCGTCCAGGGGGGACGCGCGCCCCACCTCCTCAACTGCAGCGGATGGACTGACGGGGCCTCGGGGCGGAGTTGGCACACGTAGTGCCGAAGGACAGAGTCGCTCGCACGAGTTCTGGGACGGAATGAACCACCTCCACTCATTACCTTTAACTTTTGAACCTCCGGAAAGTAAAAAACGAGGTGAGGGAGGGACGAGCGAGGGAGATAAAGACAGGACACTATAAGAAAGGATCAAACATGTAACTTCTGTCTCACTATGCGCGTGGTTCGGGG